CGCTGGCGAAAAGTACTTTAAGCACTTTGTGTTTTATTTTGGCGTTCCGGAATAATTCTAATATTTGCTTAACATATCATTTTCAAGTACCAAATGTAATAATTATAATTATTACATTAAGGTTTACAAAACCAAACTATATTTTAATAAGTTTTTGTGTTGAATCCAAATTCTACCGCACATCAGGTTTCATCACAGAAATTCTAACGAAAATGTAAAAAAGCTGTTTTTTCAATATTTGAACTTGCGTTACATCACAAAGTATTTTTCCTTAACAAAACTCGTCACGACATGCCGCGGTAGATTAAAAAGGATTTTAAAGAAAAATATGACATAACGAGTTCATGTAACAAAACCTAAAATCCATTTTTTCATCGTAATAAATTAAAAATTATTTTCGTACCATAGGGAAGGCTTAGTTTCTGTTTTTAAGGAGAATGCCACTTACGTTCAATGACCCATTAAAATAAAAATGCCATTGATAAATCTGCAACCTATAGGTTGATCTATAGATTGATGATGAACCGAGTTATCAATAATGATCGCGATTCCCAACTAGTTTTACGTCAAGTGCATTGACGGTATTTAAAAACTAATTTTGAAGTTTTAATTAACAAACTTTGTTTAACTTGTTTTTCCGAATTTGGTCGGTAGATATTGAAAAACAATGCATAATTAATTAAAGGCTTTTTATCCATGCATATACACTGCCCGTCAAAATTAACGCATAATAAGTAAAAAAATTCTAATTCTAAAACGCCTTTACCAATCTTTGAATAAAAATACTTCAACTTATATCTCAGTTTACATGTTCAAGGGTTTTTCGAAAAAATATCCTTAAATCCCTTTTATTTGATAATAAAAAATGCTGAAAAAAAAACTTTTATAGGGAAATTTTGTGAAAGACCGTATTTTTTTAAGTATACCCTGAAAATGTTGTAAAAATCAAACGAACAGTAACGAAAATACAGCGTTTCAAAGTCGTCATAAATGACCATTTTTCAGCAATATAATTATAATTAAATCAAAAAGGGGTCACTTTGAAGCGCTGGATCTTCGTTACTATTCGTTTGATTTGTACAAAATACAGCGTTTCAAAGTCGTCATAAATGACCATTTTTCAGCAATATAATTATAATATAATCAAAAAGGGGTCACTTTGAAGCGCTGGATCTTCGTTACTATTCGTTTGATTTGTACAAAATTTTCAGGGTATACTAACAAAAATACAGCATATTTTTTATTTAGTTAAAAAAAATTCCCTAAAATTATTTTTGGAACGTTTTTTATTATTCTTTCACAAAATTTCCCTATAAAAGTTTTTTTCCAGCGTTTTTTATTATTAAATAAAAGGGATTTAAGGATATTTTCTCGAAAAACCCTCGAACAAGTAAACTAAGATATAAGTTAAAGTATTTTTATACAAAATTTCATAAAGATTGGTAAAGGCGTTTTAGAGTTAGAATTTCTTTACTTATTATGCGTTAATTTTGACGGGCAGTATAGTTTATTTTTTATGGGGTTGTTTTTCATGGACTGAAGTAGGTACATTACACTTCATAGATGAGAATATGGATCGATTGTTATACAGGGACACCAAAACCTTATGTTGCCCTATGCTGAGTGTCTTTCAAGGGGACAATGATCAGAAACACTCATCTCGCCTTGTACAGTAGTAGTTGTTTGTAGTTTCACTTGAACAAAGTCCAGGTTCTGCAGTGGTCGACCCAATCACCGAACCTCAACGCCATCGAGAGGTTAAATGTTGGATTCGTACAACAAACTTCCCTAACAAACAATATTTGATTGGTAAAATTAACGAGGTCTGGACGAATCTACCGATTGCTACTACCCCATCTTTAATTTCATCGATGCTGCGTTGTGACGTTGCCAGCAGAGCAGATTATATTATTTATTAAGTTAATACTTTTATAATATTGTTTCCACGGTGAAGGCTCCACTACACAGTAAAAAATTAATTGTACTTTGTAATTATAACAAACATTTTGTTGTAAGAAATTTGGTACAATATAATTATAAGTACTACTACAACACTTAGGGCCAATTTTTCAATCGTTGATTAAGTTTAACTTACGGTTAACTTTCTTAGATACTATTGTGTTAACAATAGTATCTAAGGAAATTAACCGTAAGATAAAGTTAACCAACGATTGAAAAACCGGCCCTTACTGATGTATTTCGTAACCTTAACCCACTTTACTACTTTACCCTAATTTCATTTGAAAACCAGTGATGTCATCTGTACACTGTTTAAAATATCTGTAGTGTAAAGAGTAATCTTAAAATGTTATATTAACACCATGAATTATGGTTCCTGGTTGCGTAGTGTGTACCAATCGCGGCAAAGGCGGTGTGGATCACGTGATGTTCTTAAATCTCGCCTCTGTTGACTTACATAAAGAGTATATAAGCTCAGGTAGTCCTTTGCTTTGGTGTGACACTACAAGTTGTTCGATACTAAAGAGACCTTAAATAGGTGGAAACAGCTGTCAATACTTGAAGTATTTTAAGTTGGTGGAACGCACTAAAAACATTATTTCTAGAGAATTGAAGGTTCAATTTTCTGGAATATTACCACTTGTAATATACTTGCAATGCGTCAAGGAACTTCCTGTTTCCTTTTTTTCCTTTTTTTCTATGTAGTATGATTTAATTTGACCAAAAACACATAATATTTAACACTGAAAAGGAGTTCAATTTACATCAGGTAAAATTTATTTTTAATACTGTGTGAAAGTTAAATTTACACCATTTTAGTATTTGAATTTACACTGGACCAATGAACGATATTTAACACCATTTTGGTTTGTATCGATATAGACCATGTATTGTGTTAATTTGGTGTTAAAATGGTCATGAAATTTTGAACAGTTTATTCGGATACTTTGCACAATCGTTAAATAGGTATAAGGAATCCGAATAACAATAATAACAGATTTCTAGTAATATATTATAAACCATCTGGACAGTTGTTACGAATTAGGATAAAGTAAAAAGAAACATAAGTTGCATAAGCTGAAGTCAGTTGAACTTGTTGATGCGTATTGTCTGTTGGAAATGTTGATTGACTGCCTGAAATCACGTGTACTTTTTCAACAAAATATTTTTTTAAATATTAACAAAATAATCTATAACCTTTGAAATTAACCAATTAATAAATTATTTTCCTTTGTTAAAATAATTACAAACCCTGGATTTCTACAAAAAATTATGTTAGAATTTTTCAAAATAAAATTAACAAACTACAAATTTATGTTAACAAATCTGATTTTTATAACAGTGCATATTTGTTATTGTTGGATCGAATAAAAAATTATTTTCTTATTTCAATGAAAATATATTTAAAAACGTAACTGTTATTTGAAACAATTATTATATCATTGAGTAAGATGTTGGGTTGCTTGTTCAATGCATTGATTATATTTTATGAATTAAACCAAATTAAGGGTACATAAATTATAAAAAATACCAAAATTTTTCTCATTTTTTATAATGAATTTTTTCTGTCAAGTGAGTGACCCTGAATTTGTGTATAACTATCATATCGCTGTTGAAGAGGTGTATTTTCAACAGATTAATTTAAAAGAAAGATACTTCTATTTTAAATATATGAGAACGTAAAGAGGCGTTTCCCAAATGTTTTAAATAGTACCTATAGTAATTTTTTTTAGATTCCGACCTAAAAAATTGATTAAAACCAAATACCTACCTATGCCTTACTTTTTTCAACAGCGATATGTAAAGAAAACAAGAAAACAAAATGTTTTTGTAAATTCGAAAGCGTCGCCAAGAGGCTCGAAGAGATGTTATCAAAGTATTTTTTAATTAAAAAATAATACAGGCCATTTTGTTTTGATTCAATGATTATTATATTTGGATTAATAACCCTCAAATTTATGTTCTTTGTTTACCCAATTTTCTTCTTGAAAAGTTTTTAAGGAATCCAAAATAACTCAAGGAACAAAATTTGATGACCGTTCCGAAGCTACTTTACCACATATTTTGATTTCAAGTAAACTGACAAAATTAAAGGGAAAATTCGAAAAAAATGGTCAAGAAGTATGTCTAGTGGACGAAAAAAGACTTTCCTCGTTATCGAGAAAAAGAGAAGAGTTCAGAATTCTATTGCGAGTTGATCCATACATTTGAAAGAACTTCTATCGCTGCTTCTTTACCCACTTTTGGAATCGGCCGCCAACGCTATAGCATTGAGTAAAGAACCTTACTCAATGGCTATAGGTTATACCTACGTAAAGTATAACCTATAGCATCATAAAACAAAGTATATTTAGGGAAGTAACCCGTGATATTTTTTTAAAAATTGTATGATTTTAAATGGTATACACCGTCATTGACACTGTAGGTATATTAAATTGATTAGTGTTTAGTGATTTTAAAGTCATTAAATTATTTAAACCTTTTAAGTTTTATAAAAAAAATATCTTCTTTTTTTTCGTTTTTCTGTAATTAACCTTTTGTAATTATCAGTTTTTCCACAGCCTACATAGGTAAGTAAAGGTAACAGAAACATAATGGAGTTGTAATGATCCAGTCAAAACCCCATAGAGCATATTTTATTTTTTTAACTTTTTATGTTACAGAGTGTAACATAATTTAAAAAATAATATTTTTTGTTAAAACACTGAAACTTGATAAACTTCAAGTTTCATATAAATTTAGTTAAAACATGTTTGTAAACAAAAAAATTAAAAATTCTTAAACATTAAAAAACAATGTGCCTAATAAAATATTGCAATTTATATTTTTTAAATCTAACAATAATCATTATTGTATTACTATTTTTATTACTCATACAAACATTTCAATGCAATTTAGTAGTTTTGCGAGGTTTTGCCACAATTTCTTAGATATTAAAACGAAATTAAATAGTTTTTTTAATTTTTAAAATATTTTTAAAACTTACTTTTATAATCTAATCATTTTACTCAATCAAAATTAAAACAAAAAAATCTGCTTACCCTTAAAAATCACAAAAACCTCTCACAACTGAAAAACTTGCTCATCTCTTCGTTAGAAACACACCAAACAACGTGATAGAGCGATACCCGGCAACACAATAGTGAATTCAAAGCTTGGCGCGATACGGCGCATGGCCAGGGCCGGATTTTAATTTTCGGCGATGTCAATGTTCATTCAAAACGATATTCACCCCATCACACCCATGATCGAAAAAAATGAACGCACCGACCTTGCAGCTGCTTTTGGATTCAACCAAGTGATCTTGTCATACTTGTTAGAATTGACGTTATTTGTCTATAACTAGTTTGGGTCATATTTATAGGCCTAAAATCCGTTCTAGGTACGTAACATTCGTTCTGAACTTGATAATAATCTTGACGTTAAAACCACATTTGCTATCAATCCATATCCCAAACATATGACGCAAAACATGTTAATCACAATTTATTGTAATTGTGCAATACACTTAGGTAAATTTAACACCATAACTCATTTTAACAATAAAACTTTTTCAATGGCTTCAATACATATTACATATCATCAAGAATGTCGAAACATGAGAGTCGTGAGTGGTGTCCCTGAGTCATACCTTTAACCGTTCCATACATAAAATCTAAACCAAGAACAAAGAAATGGGGTGCATCTAGCCACAGTAGGGTCGTACCGTAACAATAGTTGTGTCTACACTCGTATGATTGTTTAATATAAGGGTGATTTTAGTTTCGAATTTTAAAATAAATTTTACACATTGTCTTCCAACACTTCCCCTTGGAATAGCTTAACAGCATAAGTAAATTAGCAAAACATCAAACGTACTAAATCCAATTAATCAAATTTTGATAGCATAAAAAATATTTATAAATAGACTAAATAATTAATAATCATATAAGATAATTTTGGCATAAATAGAGATGATTTCAGACAATTAACATTTTCTATTAATTTAAGTGAACCATTCCAAAATTTGGGTACATAAGAAATTAAGCTTTAAGTAGTTTATTTTTAACGAAGATTTTTAATATTGTCATTTTTAATTGGAGCCGGCCAAAAAAGGAATAATTAATTAATTGGCACGTATTCAAATTTATTTGAAAGATTTGGATGAAACATAATAAAAGTAGGTATTAGGTTTAGCGAAAACTTTAAATTAAAAGTATGTTTTAGCTTTTCCCTTTCAGGAATTTTACTATGATGAAGGTTCCATATTAATTGATTTATGTAATCACTTTATATTATTTTATTAATTTTTTTTTCTCAATAAGTTTCCCATTGTCCAAAATTATTTAATAATCACACAACTTTTTTTACGCTCTTAAATAATTTGATTTATTCTTCATATTTTTTGAGAAATTCCCCAGTCGTATAAAAGTCTGTTAAACAACAGATTATTATTATTATTATTATTATTATTATTAAAAAAGAAAATTTTGTTGTGCAACACTTGGTTATGTTTTAATTAGTTAATTTTCAAATTTAGGGGAATTCGCTAAAAAATTCCCCATTCAGCAAATTTTCGTAGTTGTCAATTCGGCCATTTCAAGCGCGCGAAACGCACGAATTACAAAACTGTTTTTATAAAAAAAATTGTAGATTATTTATTATATAATATTTTGGCATCAAAATTGTCAAAAATATTCTTCTTTTATTAGGTTATACATTAAATAAAAAAAAACTCAAGAAATATTTTATGAAAGTAGATATAATTTTAATAATTGAAAGGTGTGGACGGGACAAAAAAAATATTTATCTTGTCCCGTCCATCCCTGTCAATTATTGAAATTATCTCTACTTTTATAAAATATTTCTTGCGATTTTTTTTACTTAATGTATACCCTAATAATAGAAGAAAATATTTGACAATTTTGATGCAAAAATAATTTATAATAAATTAGCTACAATTTTTTTTATAAAAACAGTTTTGTGATTTGTCCCGTCCATCCGCTTGAAATGGCCGAATTGTCCAATTGACCATATCACCTTAAATTCAAATTCACCATATCACCTTATAAATTTATAAATTCAAATTCATAATTTTTGTTCTTTAGGAACATTTAAGTAAGTATAATAATATTGGTATTAATTTATTTATTTCATACATTAATATGCAATTGTAATCAGCTTTAATTATAGTTCTTCTTTCAGGTGATTTTTGTGTTACGTTTCTGTTTTTGGTTTTAGCTTGTGGGTCAAAAATAAAAGATTGTGGGAAAGGGTAACTAACTTTGGTAAAAGAGAATCTTGGCTTTTGCTTTGTATAAATAGTTAAAAAATATAAAAACATTGTAGATTGAAAATAAACCCGTTGCCAAAAATCGTAGAGTTAATTCAATCATTTACCTAAATGAAATCTTAAAAAAAAATTGCTGATATTCCTTTATTTTAAAAAGTTATAATATTTTTTTATCTCCACGCGGTCTATAATTAAAACTTTATTGTTGTCAACATTCGATAAAGAAATACCTTGTTATGGCCTAGGCCGATAAAAAATTTAATGAGGCAAGCAATTAGATTTTTTCTCGCTAGGGGTATTGTTTTGACAAATTAATCCTTTTCTAAGAAATTAACGTACTAAACTGGTTTAATTTATTTATAATAAGCACTAATTTGTGTGTTTTACTGTTAATGTTTAATATTTTTCATTAAATTATTGTAAAATTCAATATGAATAATAAAACAAAAAGTGAGGTTAGGCAACCAAGAAAACGACTAGAGGCTAAATGTATAAATGTATAGCAAAGTATTCCTCAAGGTTATGACGATTAGCTGTCATTTTGGTTATGCAGGTACACTGCATTGTGCCATACCAAACTAACCCAAACTTAACAACCCAACACAACCGACCCCGCCCCATTGGGCCCCTTCACGTAATAGTATAAAAAAATAACCTATATTTTGGTACATTTAAACTATTATGTGAAGGGGCCCAATGGGGCGGGGTCCGTTGGGTTGGGTCATTAAGTAAAGAAGTTACTCAATTATTATTACTCAATGGTTGGGTTAATAAGTTTGGGTTAGTTTGGTATGGCACAATGCAGTGTACCTGCATAACCAAAATGACAGCTAATCGTCATAACCTTGAGGAATACTTTGCTACATTTAGCCTCTAGTAGAAAACGCACGATTCTTTTTCTACGATTTAAATTATCTTTAAGTTTTAATTTGCTTTAAGTTTTCAGTAAAATTAAATGTTAAACACAGCTTAAACATTCCAAACTACCTATTTTTTAAATAAATATCCAAACAAATTGAAATTAGATACCTACCTATTTATTAAACAATTAATTGAATTCAATGTAATAGCAAAAATCCATTTCTACTTAAATCATGTTGCTAGGTATTATCAAACTATTACTGCTTCTAAAAGCAATAATAATTATTGTACATTTAATGTAATCTTTAGCTAATAAATAAATGAGATTCTAAAAAAGTGAGGTTAGGCCGCTTTGATGTTGAATTAAATTGACCTATATAAAGTGCTTTAAAGATAAAATCTTGTATGCCATTCGGCCAAGAAGTGCCTTTTTGTGCTTCGCTCAATTGTAGGCCTCCGCTACGCGTCGGCCTTCAAACCTTGAGCTTAGCACAAAAAGCCTTACTTCTTAACCTAATGACATAAATAACCATTGACGAAGACAAAATCTGTTTATGTATTTTTTCTTCATTTAAATCTGTAAAATACTCTAAAAAGTCTAACACGAAATTTTCTGTTTTCTAGGAAAATAACAATTTCTACTAATTCTGAAAAATCTTCATCATTTGTTAAATGTTCTTCCATTTTAATGCTGACCACAACTAACAAAAAAATAATGAAAATTTTTAAACGTTGACATTTATAAGGTTATGTGTGTTATAACCCGGCATTAATCATACCAAATTCACCGATTTGTTAATTATATGTTGATCATTCAATTAAATTTTAATCAATGTTTATACAACTTGAAAGTTAGCTTAATCATTAGATAATTATTATCAAGAGTTAATCAGCTGTTTATACAACTAGGGGTAAAAATCCTCATAGGTAGGTACTCTAAAAAAATAAATATTCCACTTAAGATTCGCAAAGTATTTTCAAATTTTAATTTTGGTGTCATTTTTGATACAAACTTTTTTTCCTAAGCGAAAATAGTAGACAAGCCCCAAGTAGCATTTATACTTTGAACTGAAGAGTGTATTGCCCAAATCTCTGCCACGTGGTAGAAACAGTTCTATTACGTGGAAGTAATGTAACTAAAACACTTTTTTAGTCAGTTACGATCCAACAATGTTCTTGGATTGTATTCAGAAAAGTTTATACCACGTTGTGATTACGTGGCCAAAACTTAAGCGAAACTTACTCTTTACTTTCTATCCTCGTCTCTTTCCAGCATATTATTTATCTTATTATCTTTGCTTTTTTTGAAAGAGAAAAAATTTCATGAAATCACCGTTTTTGAAAATAGTCTTATTACTGTGTAGTAGGCATGACGCATATGTCACAGTAAAAAAATTATTTTAAAATTCGTTTTTTTGGTAATGTTATTAAAGTTTTTAATTTTGTTAAACTTTAGAGCACGGTATAATTGAAAAAATAGAATATCTGGGACCACTCTGTATAATTGAATTAAATTTTACACACAATTGTAGCAATGTTTAGACTATTAAATGATCATTTAATTAAGGTAAATTTGTTTATATAAAAGAATTTTGCATACATTTATTATAAACAATTGAAATTTTTACACAATAATGTGATTATTTTCAAAATCGGTAATTTCGTGAAATTTTTTGTTCACACTTGACGTGGCTTGACTCCAGTGGCGGCTGGTTCTAAAGGGCACAAGGGCACGTGCCCACCCAACCGTCCAGATAAAAAGTATTAAAAGTTATTTGTTGCATTGTGCATTATTTTAGTTATACGTATCACCATTGTAATTACTATTTAAGGATGGTCCCAAACCTTTCTTCCGTCCTCTCAAACGGTTGAATTTTATTAAACCTTCTTTCCGCAACGCTTCAGCGCGCGCCTCCGGGGCACAATTTGAAATGTACCTATTCCGAGTATGATTCGGTGATCTTTGGTTATCCTCTCAGTACGCGAATATATCAATGTCTTCTTCTTC